TCGCCATTGATTGTGATGCTTGAGCGTCATCACGATCATTCTTTAATCAATTGATTTAGATGCTTGAGAACGGCCTATGTTTACGATATTATAAGAGTAAAAACCCATGCATATTATTAAAATTATTTAATATATCGAAATCCTATATATTTATTAAAATTATTAATTTATTGTACTACTGTACATAATATAATACATAATCTAAGGTTGTGAGTTATCATCACCGAAACTCATATCATCATTATTGTTTTTGATATCTATCTCATTTATAATAAATTCCACAAAACAGCAAAGTACAATAACCCAAATTAACCCATCAGCAATAGAATAAACAGTATCTGTAAATTTTAAAATGTAACAATTAACAAAAGCTGTACCAAAATAAAGAGAAAAAAATAACATAAAAATGACTCTTTTTACAATATATAAAATGCTTTCGAAAATTTGAAATTTATAAAAAACGAAAAGGGTGACTTCAAAAATTAAGTTAATAATTCCGACAGCGGAAACAGTTAAAGCATTTTTAGTATAAAAAGAATTAAGATTTGAGTTAAATCGTACTAATTTGATAACAATATTAATTAAATAAAGGAAAATCAATATTACTTTTATGAACTTAATAAAACCACTAATTGTAACCTCTCCAGTTATAGGCCATTCTGAATAACCAGCAAAGAATTCTAATAATGAGAGAAGAGGTATAATCCATAATAAAGTAACCATAGCGGAATATATCTCTGTATATAATACACCCAGACCAGCAATAATATTAAATGCTAATGCAAAAGCAAGATAAATGAAAAATATCAATAGAGATACAATAATGCGGCCTTTCTTAATAAAGGGATGTCTATAAGTGAGAAAAAGAAATAATAATTCTATTACAAGAAAAATAATCGATAAAGTGAATACAAGAGTCATGATTATAGAACCAACATATGAAGCAGATGGACTATAATAATTGGAAGGAAAAGGTAAATCATCAAGTGAGGGATTGAGAGAGATTTTAACCTCATTAGAAATTATCTTATATATCCAGAGAATTACATAAAGAAGTAAAGCTAAAATTTTAAATGTATTTATAGTTCGATAAATTTTTACATGTGTTGGTAAATTTATATTCGGATTTATTTCATTAGCAGATAGTTTCTCAGGTGGTTCTTGAATAGGGCTTGGTATCGGTATCGCATCTGACGCTTGTGGTGTTTGATTGTGAGTCACATCTTCATAATAGAAGTTTTGTGAAATGACCTGTGAGTACGTATCATCATACCCTATACTAGTTCTTGGTGAATCTGTCATTTTTTAGAAGGCCAGCTTTCAAAAAAGTTTTAAGCAGGTAAAGTATACAAATGAATGTCTTTTATAAATTTTTATATTCATTAAAAAATCATTGTCACTACAATGTAATACTTTTACGTAAATTGTAACAAATATTCAGTGTCACTTGACAAAATTGTTTATTTACGATGTTTTACTAACTTAGCCATATTATTGTTTCTCATGAATAATTGTACAGTAGAATGATTTTTAATAAAAAGTTTTAACATTGCCATTTATTAACGTCAATTTTCGTTGTGACACTGTATCCTAAATGTGGCTCATCATTCACCTTTATATAAAACCATTTAGATATTAATTTGTTACACACGACAAACATATCTAACCTTATTCCTGATCTTTATATTATAAAGTTACTATTTTATTAATTTTCATTTAATGTATTTAAGGTTGTCAGTGTTGTTGCGGTATAATAAACCTATGAATTATCATTTCAAGATGTTAAACCTGCATTATTTCAAAAAAGTCAAATAATGGATTAAATTTATTCAAACAATATTCTTATTTTTGTCTACATTTCAGATATTATAAAAAAACCAATGATTTATGAACATTTCTATTTTTGAGTATTGTCACCTCGCCAAGACTAGGGACATGTAGTGTTACTGAACCAATATTACTTTTTTTTTTATACTTTTTTATGGAGAATTTATGTCGTTGGTTGGGCGAACTATTAGGCTGGATGGCAGCAAAGAAAATACATATGGCCATAGCATGTCTATATGATATATTTAAGTTAATTAAATACCGTTCATATTTAAATCACGTGGTCAAAGACCACGTGCTTAAAATTTTCTAGTTTACGTAGGTTTGGAACCATCTCTATTTTTATATGTAAAAACCGATTAAAACCGGGTTAACACCGGTCCAAACCCCACTAAGCTTACGCATAGTTACAGTATCATGCAAACTCTTATGATTATAGATTTTTTTCTTATTATTTTTTGTATATTATTACGTGAGCACAACAATCTCGAGTTGAAACTCAGTTAGCCAATAATGACTGTAAAGCATGATCATAATTGCACGATAACATCGATATTGTGCGATGATAAATATCATAAACTTTGTTCTGTCAGAACAAATTTTATGATATTTATCATCGCATGATCCAGTATCTTATAAAATATCATATACTGATAATAGCTATACAATAGTACTGGTCTGACGTAACAACCCATGCGTCACCCTTATAAATAATATACTTTTTTAACATACAGAATTTTCTCTTATTTCTCTCATGAAAATTTCTTGCTCTCTTCCTCTTGCTGTCGCTGATAAAACTAATTGTTCTTATTTACTTTTGCACACATAAATAAGTACCCAGCCAAATGTAACCTTCGTTCAACAAATATCTATCCAAATTTAAAAATTCGTCTAACAAACAAAGATTTAAAAAAACACTTGACTAAATATAGCTTACATTTAATTAACATGATTTTAAGCACTCAATCAGAGATAAAAATCTTAAAATGCATATTACAAATATAAATTCTTCAAACCAGATATCATATGAACTTTTCTTAACTAATAAGAATTAAAATGAAGAATCTTATCAAATACGAATCTTCACTAACTTATAAAAAAGCCAACAAATATGGATCCACCAACCCAACAAAAAAAGTACAAATCTAAATATAATCTTTATTCACTAATGAGAATATAAGCAAATATTTGCTAACTAATGCGATCCCAAAAAAAGTACCTAATCAAGTGAGAATCATGTTTAAAATTCAATTTCTCGGATCTCAGAGAACATTGCACAATTTTTTGAGAACATAAATTATTAAAGCATGTTCTCTATTTGAGAACATTTGAACTATTTTTTAATATTACATAATTCTAATTTTTTGTACAAAGAACATTAAAACTTTTTGAGAACAATTGAACTTAAAAACAGTTCTTTTTGTGAACATAAACCAAATTTGAATTTTAGGCTGATGAGGATTTAACATATCTTTAACCAACCAATGTATTTTTTAAAAAGAACACCTGAATAAATATAAGTTTTCGCCCAATTAACGAAAATTTTAAAAAATACTAAAATATAAATACAAATTTTACCAAACCAGTAAATTTTAAATATATATATAAATAAATATTAATTTTTGTCTACCCAAGAAAATTTCGAAACGCCAACTAAATCGAATTTTTACACAGTAATACAGCTTTCAGCAAAAACTAGATTTAGCTTTGCATTTTATAAAAATAATTTACTACGCATGTTTTAAAGTTTTTATTGTTTAATGACTGAAGATATAATGAGACAATGATTTAGGTGATTGGAAGTATTTGTTTAAAGAATTACTACAATAGGGGGTTTCAGAAATAACTTTTTTTCAAAATAAGTGGGAGTTTAAAAGGTCCTACTTTCTTTTTAAAATTCCGAATCAGAAAATTAAATAGGCATAGCCGGTGATAAAATTAGTTTTTTTTTGATCGGTAAACGATTATGTAAATAAGTACATACTTTAAAAAAAAATAGAATTTGTACTTTGCTTATTTTGAAATAAATACGTCACTTATTTTATTTGAAATCGGACGCCGAACCATTAATTCTGAAACCCCCTAATTGTGAAATTACAGATTTGCTCTTTTAATATTCATATTATGAACTTATTGTATTCGTTGTTGATTATAAAATATTTTGTTATAGTTGTTATTATTATTATTATTATTATTATTATTATTATTATTATTATTATTATTATTATTATTATTATTATTATTATT